AAATGTCACGCAAAGCTACAAAGTTTTATCTGGCATCAGCTTTAGGCCTGTTTGCGTACGCACCATCCAGTAATCATTTTACTGGTTTTTACAGGATGTCGTTTTCGTACGCCAAAACTTACAAGAAATAGAGCTGGTCACTTGAAATAACTATCGATAGTTTTAGTATTATCGCCACTATCGTTTCATTGATAGCTTATTCTCTTTCCTACCGCTTTTGATATTTGCACGTATTGGTTCAAAGAGAACAAGAATTGGCAGCATTATTTTATGAACGAACGAATAAAGATTACCCAGGCCGGTGTGCGAGAAAAGATTTTTTTTGCAGTGACGTCCTTTTTTCGCCGCCATGTGAATGAAACTACCGATTAAGAAATTACGTTTTTTTTTTATTTTTTTCTCAAATACAATTCCAAATATGAGTAAACTAATTTTCAATAAAAGGTTTAAAGCTTTATGAAAATAGTTTTTATTGAAGTAAAGCTTACCCTTTCTATTCGATATTTTCTTAAGAACTGAAAAACTCTGACAAATATTAAAATTCAATTAATAATTTCCAAATACTGCTGAATAATATTAACATAAACAGAAATACAGTAACCATATATGTAATACTTCTATATTGGCAGTAAGCTAACTTCTCAATGTGTAAGCATTCCGAAATCAAAGCAAGACAGTCTAGTACCGTTTTTGTCAATGTATTGTGTACTTGAGTGCCGTTTTTGTAAATGTGTTGTGTACATGTTTATTTATAAACGTATGTGTTCCTTTTCTTTCGTACGTGTTTATTGATATATCTGTACTGTAGTGTTTTCGGACGGTACTAGCTCTTACTGCCAATAGGTTCATTCCTTATCTTTTTGGACTAAAACCTGAAAAGTGTCAAAATGCCAGAGCGTAAGCAAAATGCGCTCACTAAAAGAGAATAACAGGAAAAGTAAAGGAACGCAAAAAACCAAATTTTTAGTCCAAAGAATGGCAACAACAAAGCTAACGTCAAATAAGAATGGAAATGTATGTACAAAACACATTCACACAAGCACAAGCACAATAAACACTTACTATATTAATTATTTTTTGCCTCCTTCCAATTTGAATTCACTTTTTTTTACTTTTTAGATTATTCTCACTTTTTGCGTATTCTTTAATTTCCGTTAATTTAAATTCAGTTGAGTTTGACACTTTTCAGGATTTTGCCAGAAAAAATTCTTCTGACTAAATCTGACTACTTCGGACTAATGAGAGTCACTCTCACTGTGTGTTGCTCTCTCATTTTAGCTGTCATTTCCGAGTTAAGGAACGCTTTTTGGACTAAATCTGACTACTTCGGACTTCTGGGAGATAAGGAACGCTCCTAATATAGGAGTATTACATATATGACAGTAACAAACGGAAACAGTATTGTTTATAACTATAATATAACTCGTCCCTCCCTGAGATTCGAGTCCCATCGAATCATTTACATTATTTATTAAAAAAAACAAAATTAATAATTGCTAATTAATTTTAAAACATGGAAT